GACTCCGCTGTTTCTGCGTTAGCATTATAGCAGAGAACAATGTGTCATCAATCAGATGTAGCTTCTGAAGCCTCTACTAGTCGGTCAGATATGTTTTTTCTCTGGGATACGGTGACAAGGACGAATATTGGATTACCGGAGTTCAACCGAACTCAGACCCCGCCGGCTGGATATCACTACCAGAGGTGCAGACATGTTTTAGACCGTTTGACTAAGAAGACCTGCGACCCGATTTGGACATAGGAGGATTCTGTTCATCTTCAGAACCAAAATTGGTACAGTTTGTTTACTTTTCTTTAATATGTCATTTCTGTGCTCCACTGGGAGCTCTAAGCTGACAAGTTCTCAGCTGGTCTTAGTTCCATCACGTGTCCCAATATATTTCAGTAATCTACAGTTTTACTGCTGTGTGTATTTATTGATATAACTCTGGAAAATATTTAACCAACAATTTACCAGAATAAATCTTCCTGATGCTGGAGTAACTCCTTAGCTCAATTCGTTGTTTGCACTAATCCAGGATGTCACGGAGGTTCTAATGTTGAAATATAGAGATCATCTTTTAGATTATATCTGTGTGTGTGTGTGTGTGTGTGTGTGTGTGTGTGTGTGTGTGTGTGTGTGTGTGTGTGTGTGTGTGTGTGTGTGTGTGTGTGTGTGTGTGTGTGTGTGTGTGTGTGTGTGTGTGTGTGTCGTAGCTTTCCCAAAGAACTTGTTCTTTCCTTACCAGAGCTAACACGGTTAGCAGTTTTGCTGCAGTCATGCTAACGGGACTCGTCTGGAGTCCAGAAGTAGCGGTGCGGTTCTAGATGGATTTATAGATGTAGTTTATTATTTTAGATCAGACCTGTTATTTAAAATGCATGTAGGACACAGACACATGGCTCAGACCTTTTGCTGCAGCTGTAAACGCAATTTTACGTAATAATTAGGAGCATGAAAGTAAACAAATAACGGTGATTCACAATACTAGCATCAGCAGCTACCTTGTTTTACGTGCTGGAATGACGTATGCGAAACACAGTTCTTCAATGTCTGGAGGAGAGGATTTGGATTTTCTGTCATGATTTATGACAAAAGTCATTAACAAAATAAAAAACTGAACCCAGTACATGTTTATATAGATGGTAAAGTGTAGTTATTTTGCATATCTACAATTTTAATGCCAAGCCAATACCTTTAACCCTTCACCACTGAAATCACTTTGCTCCTTCCAATCCTCCTAAATAATCCTCCAATCATCCAACTGGAATCCTTAAGGGTCCCGTAACGTCCATCCTGTCAGAATAGGCCTTGGGAGCCCAGGTGTTACTAGAACTAATGGTGTCTCCACACCAGCGTGAGCCTCCAAACTGTGAAGGTTGGTCTCCAAACATGAACTTTAAATTCATGCATTTATCTCCTCTTGTAACACTTTAACATTTTTTAAAAGGCTTGCATCATGATATGTTACACCTCCCAGACCAAAGATAGGTCCAATATAAGATAAAACATGATCATAAACACTGCAGAGACATCATTATTTATGAAATATGAGTTATTTTCCTGAGCCATTACTTCAGCCAAGAAATAAGATGCATGGATTTGATGAAACCATGCTGTCTCATGCAGTCCTATATGTGTAACTAACACACACACACACACACACACACACACACACACACACACACACACACACACACTCACTCACTAGAATCATCTGAATGACTAATTTAACTACATTGAACTGCTTTTGTAATTATGTAATCTCTTATTCTGGAGTAAAACAAGCTAAATCATCACATATCTGTGGCATCAAGGGGCATCTTGAGTTCAAACACAGGGATGGAGCACAATGTTTACACCTGAAACAGCATCAGGATGTTTTAACTCACAGAGGCCTGCAGGTCTTCTGTTTAATTAGCAAAGTACTGAGAATCCGCTTGTTATGAGCGCTAAACGTTATTTTGCCGCTGCCGTGCGGAACGGTAGGGAAACACATCTCAAACACGGAACCGAGTCTGGTTACCGAACCGAGCAGAATTCTGATGACGTCACACCGATGCGCGAAGGTGCGGGATCCAACCCACAGGAGAGGAGGGAGAGAGGAGGTAAAGAGCGAGTGGATCACAGGGACTGAACTGATGTTTGAGCAAAACTGCGGTAAAATGGCTGTTTGTCCTCATTATCTAAAGTGTACCCCCCCTGCTAATTCGTTACTTTCCACCTCTGCTTTTTATTATTTTTGCAAAATGCAGGACCAGAGCGAATACGGTTTGGTTAGAAAAATGAGACAGTCCAAATGTTAATAGGGCCACTAATAGCTTACTGCTATTATGGACCAGTCCGAAGTCGGCATAAAAAGCGTCGGTACTGTTGGCCCAAAAAGAATGTCCACCAACCACTGTACGCCTGATAGAGAGCCCAGCGGTGGCACGGATGCACATTAATAGTTATTAATGAAATATCGCAATAAAGAGCCTCCAGTTCAGATGCTAACGCTAGCATGAATGTACAAAGATGAAAAACAAAAACGTGGTCCTACATGACAAATCTATAATTCCAGTCATTAAAAATAAATATTTAACTTTCCACCATAAAACTCCCAAAATTACTATGGTGCAAGTGATGTTTCATTTCGTGTCATGTTTTGTAAGCTAAACTTTGACAAGTGGGTTTCTGGTGATCTATAGATTGACTTAACACTAACCAAAACCACAATTTACATTCTTAAGAGTGATAAACTTACCTTTTAGAAGCTTTCAAGTTGGAGGATGAACAGTGATTGTCTTCTTTTTCTTCTTCAACGTAGCTGACTGCTGACTGTTCAAGAACAGAACTTCAAAAATGTGCTTCAAAAGAAATACTGTATTAGACAGTTTTTTGGCCGTGATTTTCCGGCTGTCATAATTCAACAAAAAAACATCAGATTTAACATTATCCCACCGTAATTTGGAAAATCGGTATGTTACTGTTGGAATTCTGCCGTAAATTTACAGAAATTTCTGAGTGTTGATAAGAGATACCCGAATGCACTCACCCTTCCAGCTAACCTTAGCTCGACTGACTGACGAAGCGGGTTCTAGAGCCCTATTTATAGGCTGGCAAGATGACGTCACAAAGCGACGTAATAACGTCGAAACCTCTCAGACCAAAGATAGGTCCAATATAAGATAAAACATTATCATAAACACTGCAGAGACGTCATTATTCATGAAATATAAGTTATTTTCCTGAGCCATTACTTCAGCCAAGAAATAAGATGCATGGATTTGATGAAACCATGCTGTCTCATGCAGTCCTATATGTGTAACTAACTAACACACACACACACACACACACACACACACACACACACACACACACACCAGCAGCAGCAGCAGCATGTTAGAATCATCTGAATGACTAATTTAACTACATTGAACTGCTTTTGTAATAATGTAATCTCTTATTCTGGAGTAAAACAAGCTAAATCATCACATATCTGTGGCATCAAGGAGCATCTTGAGTTCAAACACAGGGATGGAGCACAATGTTTACACCTGAAAAAGTATCAGGATGTTTTAACTCACAGAGGCCTGCAGGTCTTCTGTTTAATTAGCAAAGTACTGAGAATCCGCTTGTTATGAGCGCTAAACGTTATTTTGCCGATGCCGTGCGGAATGGTAGGGAAACACATCTCAAACACGGAACCGAGTCTGGTTACCGAACCGAGCAGAATTCTGATGACGTCACACCGATGCGCGAAGGTGCGGGATCCAAGCCACAGGAGGAGGGAGAGAGTAGGTAAAAAGCGAGTGGATTACAGGGACTGAACTGATGTTTGAGCAAAACTGCGGTAAAATGGCTGTTTGTCCTCATTATCTAAAGTGTACCCCCCCTGCTAATTCGTTACTTTCCACCTCTGCTTTTTATTATTTTTGCAAAATGCAGGACCAGAGCGAATACGGTTTGGTTAGAAAAATGAGACAGTCCAAATGTTAATAGGGCCACTAATAGCTTACTGCTATTATGGACCAGTCCGAAGTCGGCATAAAAAGCGTCGGTACTGTTGGCCCAAAAAGAATGTCCACCAACCACTGTACGCCTGATAGAGAGCCCAGCGGTGGCACGGATGCACATTAATAGTTATTAATGAAATATCGCAATAAAGAGCCTCCAGTTCAGATGCTAACGCTAGCAAGAATGTACAAAGTTGAAAAACAAAAACGTGGTCCTACATGACAAATCTATAATTCCAGTCATTAAAAATAAATATTTAACTTTCCACCATAAAACTCCCAAAATTACTATGGTGCAAGTGATGTTTCATTTCGTGTCATGTTTTGTAAGCTAAACTTTGACAAGTGGGTTTCTGGTGATCTATAGATTGACTTAACACTAACCAAAACCACAATTTACATTCTTAAGAGTGATAAACTTACCTTTTAGAAGCTTTCATGTTGGAGGATGAACAGTGATTGTCTTCTTTTTCTTCTTCTTCAACGTAGCTGACTGTTCAAGAACTGAACTTCAAAAATGTGCTTCAAAAGAAATACTGTATTAGACCATTTTTTGGCCGTAATTTTCCGGCTGTCATAATTCAACAAAAAAAAACATCGGATTTAACATTATCCCACCATAATTTGGAAAATCGGTATGTTACTGTTGGAATTCTGCCGTAAATTTACAGAAATTTCTGAGTGTTGATAAGAGATACCCGAATGCACTCACCCTTCCAGCTAACCTTAGCTCGACTGACTGACTAAGCGGGTTCTAGAGCCCTATTTATAGGCTGGCAGTATGACGTCACAAAGCGACGTAATAACGTCGAAACGTAGAGTGAGAGGAGGACGCAAACGCAGACAACGGCTGGACAAACGGATTCCATTGGCTTCAATAACACGTTTGTTGTCTATAATGGCAGGTGGCCACCACCGCCATTTTGACCGTGTCACAGGTTCCGTCCAGCCCAGACAATTCCATAAAAGGGAAGAGAGGAGGTGCTGAGGGTGTGGCTGTAAGGCTGGGCTCGAGTGACGACACCCAGGCGAACTAGCTACGAGCTAACCTGAAGCTAACCCAAAAAAAAAAATAATAATAATAAAAAAAAAAACCTGAAGCTAACCCTGGCTAACCCAAAGCTAAAGCGGAGGTGGGAGCCGAGCTAACGGATGTAGCCACCTAGCTTCAACCCAACCGGAGCTAACTGGAACACCCATCGACCTGAACCTCACACGGAGTTTAGGTGGAGGTTTTCTGCGCCTGTTCGTGAGAAGTACCTGTATTAAAAAAGATTTAAATCGGTAAGTTTATAATTTATTTCCGTAATGAATACATTTTGCTTTGAGCAAGTTTTCAGTACAGTTTTTTTCGGCGCTATCACTCCTGAGTCGCACCAGCCATTAAATGTATCATGAAGAAGAGAAAATATATTTAAGTCGTATTTTGGGGGACATTTTATTATCTTTCTTACAAAATCTGAGACCAAGCGTTTCACATTGCAACACAAGCACCGGTAACCATAACAGAATGAACAACAGCCAGCAGAGGAGAGGATGGCGGTGTTTCAAACCCTCCCGGCCGGCGAGGAGAGCTCATTCCTGGGCTGGAGCCGGCCCTCAGCACCCCGCCACAGGCTCTAACAGATGCTGGCGGTGTTTGAAACCCTCCCAGCGGGACAGGGGAACTCATTCTTGTGTGGGTCGGAGTCGGCCTGCAGCAGCGCGGTGTAGCCTACATATTTTGTTATATAAGTCGCTCTGGAGTATAAGTAGCAGGACCAGCCAGAATATGTAAAAAAGTGCGAGTTATAGTCCGGAAAATATGGCAGTTATTAGTATTCGAGCTAAATTAGCAGCGTAAATACATTTCATATATTTCCAAAATGTAATACTTGTTTGTATCTTGTACAGCCAACTAGTCTTTATTCTGGACTCAGTACAATTTACCAAAAGTAAAGAGACATTCTACAGATGAAGTAAGCACAAGATAACTTACTGGAAGACACGGGATTATCATGAGAACCAGAACAAGAGAGCCTGATAACAGTCATGTGAAAATAACAGTTAAAAAGTATGTATGTATAATAGAAATAAAAATATATTAGAATTAGTGTAACTCACTGTGATCCAAACAATAAATCAGCCATAGCTGATTAGTAAATATGACATGAGGTCTTGGAGTTTTTAATTTTCATTTTTTTCTTAGATCTGTTTAAATGTCACCATGGCAGCCTGTGTGTCTCCAACATCAGCTACACAAAGCAGCTAGTGTAAGTTCCACATACCTGTCTCACCACTTCATGTATGGTTTTGTACTTTGAACAATTATGACAAACCTGTTATTTTTTCTCCATAGCCATTTGGATCATTGGAGACAGCTATGTGAGGCGTGGTGCCCAGAGAGCTGCAGAGACAACCTTGGCCTCCCTGACGTCTGTGTCTCCTGGTTCAGTTGGGGCGGACCATCGACATACATACATGTGCCGACACTTTGCGCCCTGTTTTATAAAATTTAGTGTTAAAAATAAATGGTTTTGCTCAATTACTGGAATTTCTTTGGTTAAGACAAAAGTGAGGAATAATCATTTACAAGTTATTTGTACAACAGGCCCATTTTAAATCCCAACCGTTTCTTAGCAGACAATAGAAATGTGTTCTTTACTAACTTTACTTGGTTTAAAAATCTTACTAAAATAGTGCCGTATTGCAAAACCCAATCATACTTGTTATGTAAACATTAGCTTTGTAGATATTTTTTACAGATATGTGTGCAACAAATCCAAACTTAAATAATTTGTCATTCTTTATTGAAAAACAACAAAATACAGTTATACAGAAGTGTGGGAAAATGATAATGTGAAAGTATTGCTATTTAAATGTAATCCTATTTATCTTTAAAAAGAAAAACTCTTAAAAATGTCCTGTACAGCATCATGACAGAAGAATGGTGGTCTGTCTGTCAGAATGTGCTGAACAGATTTGCTCTTTGAAGAGGAGTGTCATGTTTGGAGGAAGGTACTTAACCCAAGACATGCAGAATACAACACTGACCAAAAACTGATGGAAAAAATGATTTATTTATAAGGAGGAACTTAAGGTGCACAGATAAGTCTGTGGTTGGAACTGCAACAACAGCTCAGCGTCTGGAGGAGGGAGAACACAGGTGAGCACAGGTTCTGGTTTCAAAATCCATTGTAGGCAGGCAGAGGTGTTCAGCAGACTTACTGTGGTGGGTGTATGTGTTGGCTGGAGGAGAGAGAGGTAGAGAGGAAGCGCAGGAGAGGGAGCAGAGGTGGAGAGAAGCGGGGCGTCCTGGTGGATGGGGCACTGGGTGAGATGAGAGGTGGGTTATGGAGGCTGGTGATAAGGTCCGTGTGTTGAATATCCAAATCCTGGAGTAGAGTTCAGTATCCAATGAGGTCGACAGGAATCCTGAAGAATGGTAAATCCAATATAAGAGCAAAAACACTACGAAATAACATTAATCCTAGGAACACTAGAGGTAACACGAGTGGCTGGTTACTACCAAAACTGAGGCAATCTTCTGGCGTCAAATTGTGTCCTCCATCCACCTTAAATAGGAAAGCACCCCGCTGATTGCTGATCAGGAACGGCTGGGGTGGAGTCACCAGAACCATGAAGAACGTGTCTCCAGAGACAACCCGGGTCCTGGTACCAATCAGGAAGCGGACCTTATCACCCAGAGCTGCCAGGTCACGCTCAAAGCCTTCCTGTTCACACTGCAGAGCCTGAACGCTGGCCAGGTGGTGGCCGTAGTTGTCTGTGTACAGGGCCTGGTTCTTCTCCTCGATCCACTCTTTGGTCTCATCAGCGTCTCTGAGAAGACATCAGAACTCCATCTGAGTGTGGGTCCAAACTCTACTGACCCGTAAGCGGCGCATAAGTGTGCGGGGTACCTGTGGAAGCGCTGCACCTCATGGGCGCTGCCCAGCATGTTGCTCCGGTCTTCAGCCAGCTGTTGCAGCGAGCGCCAGCTGTTGTTCAGCTCCTGGAGAGAAACCAAACCCAGTGAGATGAAGGTGGACGCCAGCGGGCTGGACGCCGGACAAGGAAACCTGGAGACGGATCGCTCAGACAGGAAGGGAAGAGCTTCCTCTTACCTTGATGGAATTAAAGTTAGCCGTCGTCTGAACGCCCAACCGTACGGTCTGAGGTCAAAGGTCACAGGAAACACACACCAGTCAGCAGTCATACAGATGCATAAAGATAACTGTAGCCATGGCAACCAGCTGACATGTCCCCACTTTCACCAGCACCTGGTGCCTGCCGGGTCACCTGAATTCCTGTGTGATGTCAGCACGGTCGGCCGTGACTGCGGCCATCAGAGGTGACCTCTGATCAGCTGAATGAACTCACCTTCTAGGGTGACGCCGTGTTACCCCGGGTTTCCACGGGAGCCGTCAGCAGCACGTTACTGCAGCAGCACGTCTTGCTCGCGTAAGCTGCTGCTTGGCCCTTCCCACGAGACGCGAAGCAGCAGGGGAGCAGCTGTCACCGACCGAGCACGAAGTCACACGAGTGACTTCGTCAGTAAACACAACAACAAGCAGGAGAAAACTACAACATGGTTTGTGTTTTATGTTCTGTCCATTTTATAATCGCCAATACGGACCTGAAAAACAAAGGAGACCGCTAGCTAGGTGATAACTTCTCACGGGGCCGCACAGTTAGTAACTGTTTTTAAAAGTAAAGCAACCGGAAGGCAGTACGTTCTTTATTCTGAAAATCTCGGTAGCTTCTCTCAATTTCCGCGTCCGATTTCCTGTCTTTCCTTCCCCAAAAATGTCGAACTTGACCCGTTTCAGAGGCGTCGCGCGTAGAAAATAGAACCGGCGCGTAAGGGCCGCAACTTGCTGCTCCTGAGACGCGGCCGACTCTCGCTGCCGACGGCTCCAGTGGAAAAGGTTCTGTTGACCACAGCGGTTCCTATCAGCAGCTATGACGTGCTGCTGCAGTAACGTGCTGCTGACAACTCCTGTGGAAAGCCGGGGTTAGAGTCGGCTTCATCCTGTAAACAAACAAATGAGTGGTAACAAAAACACCACGTCTGGTTCTGGTGGAGGCGGAGGACAACACGCACCTTTCCAGGAGCAGAACCCAGATGTTCTTGTTGCTACAAACAGAGACGAGCAGAGTTAACAAACCAGGAAGTGAGAGGGACCAGCTGCTGCAGACAGGTGACGCTCACCTGAGCCTGAACCATAGGAGCCTCCTCAGCCATCAGACCTTCTGACTCCAGTTCAGATGCCACCTTGTTGATGTCCCTCAGGCGGGACTCGTTGGCCTTCAGGTCCTGCAGGACAAAAGCACCTGCTGATTATCACCTGAGCTGATCTGACAGCTGCTGCTGGAAGACGGAGAGGAGGAAAAGTCCGACCTTCTGGAAGTCGTCAAACTTCTTCTGCAAGACCTCGACCTGCTCCAGGTCCGACCCGTCTCTCCATCCTCATTCAGCTAAAGACGCGAGTTCAAGTAAAACAACCTAAAGTCTCACAAACACAAAGCAGGTGTGGAGATGTTCGCTCTGAGCTGGAGGTCGTTCCTCGGCTGTGAAGGGCACACGAACCTTGTTGGTGCTGTTGAGCAGCGTGAGGATGTCGCCCTTCTTCATGGTGACCTCTCCAGGACTCTTCTCCTGGTAGTCGTACAGAGCCAGAACCAGCTCCTTCCCGGTCTCATCGTCAGTTGGAGCCACTTGTTGCTGTCGGGTTAACAGGTCTGGTGTTAGAACGTGGTGGATAAGAATGTTCTGACGGGCCGAGGGTTCTGAACCAGCGAAGTGACCTGGACCCAAACAAAGTGAGCCAGAACCTGCAGACACCTCAGAAACATGTCAGGACCAGACCTGCTCTACCTTCCTCCATTATGGTCTCTCCTTTCTGGGTGACAGCCTTGATGCGAGGTTCATGACCTGTGATCTCAGCCTGCAGAGCCTGGTGCTTCTTCAGCAGGTTCTGGACACCAATCAGGTCCTTCCCTGAGGACACATGTTAGAGTTCAGCATTATGCAGTAGACAGACCAGTTTAACCCAGGGGTTTCTTTCTTCTACAATCTGCTCTTTAACTGTATTATTTCCTGCTATTTCAGCTGTTAACTTCATTTTTTCTCTAAGTGTTTTTCTCCCCAGAAGAAGCTACAACGACGTTCTGCTGAGCTGTGGTGGCCTCATGGAGGGGGCCATCATCTAGCACACTGCTGCTAACCACTTAATCATTCTCCCTCTCCTGATAATAACATTTTACTTTCTTTGATGTTGGATGTACTACTGCTAGTTTACCCGTTTAATTATAGATTCACTAGGATAAATACAATAAAGTTTATCTCTCACCAAATAGAATATTTACTAAGAAATCACAATGTAACGTGTGTGTGTGTGTGTATGTGTGTGTGTGTGTGTATGTGTGTGTGTGTGTGTGTGTGTGTGTAAAAGCCATGTGTAGTGTTTATTTATAAAGCATATGTTGTTGGATTTTATCCAGAATCGAGATTTTGAAAATATATACACACTTAAAACTGCTGGGTTAAAAATAACCCAACTTGGGTTATTTTGTAACCCAGGCGCTGGGTCAAAAAGGGACCGACCCAACGCTGGGTTGTATTAACCAAGCAGGGTTGGGTTATGTGTTTGACCCAGCATATTGGGTTATGTTTTCTACCCAACTAATGGGTTAAAATGACCCAACTGTATAATTAGGGTAACCCAAAACTGGGTTAAAAAGAAAACCCAACTTCTGGGTTATTTAATAACTAAAGATTGGGTTAAAATGACCCAATTCTATAATATAGGGTTATAGGAAAAAAATAAATAAAATGCTTAATGAATAACTTACTACACAAAATGAACATGTCTCAGTCAATTCTTTATTGACCAAATAAGTTTTTTTTTTTTTTTTCATTTTTAAAATGCATAACAATACTAATACAACTAGAGAGTATTTAAAAACATTTATAGTCCCGCTCATTTTTTTTGTAAAACTCTGCTTATTGCATTTGTGTAAATGTGTTTTAATGACAAATATTAAAATATTAGACACCTGAAGATCATGAACATTTTCAACCCAATGCTAATGGAAGAACTGTACTTACGTAAATGTCCAAAAACATGTAACTCATCTCCATGCTAGCAAAACATCAACTTTAAATCATAGCCAACTGAGCCCTCATTAGCTTTACAGCATTTGATTCATGCCCAGGCATTTCAAAGATGACCGTTTGAATGAACTCCCAAATTTGGGCACATGGTTTTGGGTAATTCACATCTAACACAAAAAATGTTTTAAAACAGCCATCAACTGCACCCAAAAGTGATGGATATTCCATGGCAGTCCCATTGAGGATAACGAATGCTTGGGAACATCGATGGTCTTCACCAAGCATAAGAACATGTGGGTCGTCTGTTGTGGCCCCGGTCAGGTACTCCACCATGTTGGTTCCAGTCTAAAAGTAAGGGGAATTGAAGAAAAAAAAAAAGAGAAAGAAAGGGAAAAAAAATTAAGGCATGAAAAAGAAATGGTTTCATACAAGTTGTGGAAGCATATTTGGAGTTGGCTGTCAATAATAGTGGTGCAACTGTACAGATAGCCCACGGTACGGTCTGTAGTACGGTTTTTAGACCACGGCCTCAGTATGGTTTTGGCATACGTTTTGTGCAGAAAGGCTGCTGTTTGTTATCCCAAAAAGTGTATTTAATTTTTTTGTGAGCAAAAACATTTGCATTATTTCAATTATTACTTGTATCAAATACAAAATCTAAAAAGATATGTAAAATGTAAACAAACAAAATGCAAAACACAAAATGCATGTAAACACTCCAAAAAACTGGAATACAAAAATTCACATACCGGTAATATAAAGATGACTATTTTAAATGAGTGAGCTATGTTAATGAAACACAAAGTTTAAAATAGTTTAAACAAATGTTATATTTTGCACTGCAGCAATGCATACAATTGAGTCCTCAATGGTTCATTGCTCACTAAACACAAAAGCTGCATTAATGTCTAGCTCGCAAACTGGGAGCTGACTGCTCAGAGAAAGACAGGGAGAGGTCAGCAGCTCCTGTGCTGCACACAGAACAGCTGACAGGCCAGAGCAACTTGGGATTTCCGCAAAATAAATCAGAAAACCATCATTCAAAGACATTTATTTAATTCTGACCACGTCAATTGGAGACATGTTTCCTGACTTCCAAACTTTGGCTGACAACCCAGCGAGCGTTTGGCGTCAGGTGCAGGTGGAGTGGCGCTCTGTGCCAGACAAGATGCAGAGCCATGCGCTCTCACATAAGTGTAATGAATTCATGTAGCCTGTAACTCTGCTCCATGTGTGGCATGGTTTAGAGTAGGAATGGGCGATATAAACTTAATCCACAATAGAGATTTTCCCTCTACTGCAATAGAATGGATTTTTCCAGCTGTACCATGATGGGACGCAGCAGCATAAATGATGTTCAGCGTTTATAGTCCCTGTAGATCAGAAATCGCACTGCCATTTTAATTAATACTGAACCAAACCAGCCTGAACAGAGATTCAAACCGTGCCACCACACATGGACCAGAGTAACAGGCTACAGGAATTAATTATAAACACACCTGTTACCAGAGTGCGTATGGCGCTGCGTCCTGCCTCGCACAGAACGGCGCTCCCCCTGCACGAACGAGAGCTAACAATGCTAACAGTAAATTAGAAAGAGTCAACTCTAAAAATATCTCAAGTTGCTTTTTTCAATTACCACAGATGCTATTGGAGTGAAATGTATTTATCTACTAACAATATCAACTACTGTGTCTGACTCGTCTTGTTATGATTCTAGTCCGAACGAGGAACCAGGGAGGGAATTTTTCTGCAGCACTCCGATTTGACCACAAGATGTCAGTGTTACGTATCCCTCATTAAATTTACAGTCTTTCTCCTGGCATTCAGTTTTAAGTCTGTAAATCTTTCATTTATTCATTTTACCAATTTTGAATTTATTATAATTTAATGTGCACATAAATGGAAGCAAGTGAAAAATTTAAAATTTCAATAAAAAATTTCCACTGTTATGTCAGTGCTAAATAAATATTTCAGTTTTGTTTTATTGCAATGCCTTGATTATAGTGAAGTTGGAATACATTGTAGCCATAAATGCTATGGTTGACTTTTAGCTTATTGACATGCTAATTGACCATTTTTCTTTCAGTGCTGCAGTTTTCAGCCTTGGTTTTCTCATTTTAGGTTTTTGGTTTCAGCCAAGAATTTTCATGTTGGTGCATCCCTAGAAAATAATACCTAATGTCAAAATTAATAGAACTTACTGGCTGGATGTCAATGAAGGCCTTGCGAACCACGCTGCTGGGTCGGAGGAGTCTCCTTCCAACTTTGTATGGTGCAGTAGGGAGAATCAGTGGGAGCAACAACAAAGCGGCATCTTCCTGTTTGTCTGTAAAATGGAAATGTTTCACATTTCTCAAGGTTACCAAACTTAGAAAATGACAACCATAAAATATGAACTGCAATGATTTTGAGGTCAGAACACACTGGCTGATATCTTTCAAAAACAAAGTTGGAACTATTCAAAAACAGAAAAATGGATGGGTGAAAATCTTATATCGCCCACATCAAGTCAGACAGAAAAAACTGCCTCAGATGTTACCATAAAACCTACTGAATACAACAAGTGATATGTTTGTTAAAACAAGGTGAAGTACTCCCATTGGCAACACAAGATGTTTACCATATATTCAGCTCATCTCCAAAGCTCCAGCAGATAATAAAAATTTGTAAGAAATTGTATACAGCGCATTTACTGTCCTCTAATGCCTGCACACCTAATAGGCTACGTATTGACAATGAGATCAAAATAAAAAATTTAAATGTCTCATTGTACTTATAGAGCCTTTATTTAAGCTAATTTTTCAAAGATTGTTTCATAGTTGTTTTTTTTACCGTAAATGACAAGTTGATTGATCTGAAAGAGAAGCAATACACACTGCTTTTTAAGGACTTTCCATTTTTGTCTGAGTTGATGCTAACCTTGCCCTGCAAGATGTTTTCTCGCAAGATTTGGAGTTTTCCAAACTCGTGAGAATCCATCTTGGCCTCCTCCAATCCTGACGGTTCAGCATCAGCTCAATGGTAAACGGACTAATCGTGTGTCAGCATTGTGCTTTTTGGCAGGCGCATGAGCAGCTGTTTGGGCATGCCGACAAACATGGCAGTGCCGGTGGATGTCAGAGCAGTTACTGGTTTCAGAATGGATATAACCTCCAGCAAAAGGTAGGCCTAGGTAGTCTCATTTATAGCTCCAATACGGCGCTATATTGAATATCTGTTTTAGAAAAACTAGAGACTTAGCTGTGATTGGCTAAAGACAAACCATGGTAGCCAGTGTTCGGACACTTGCTGGTGCTTCCTCCAATCAGCTCAAAGTATTCCAGCAGATGGCCCACCCTCCTTCCTAGGCTTTCTAATGCAGCCTGCGGCGGAGATTCCAGATCGAAATATGGAGACTCGACAGGTGGCGGGGCTACATAGAGAGAGCTGACTGCTGCCAGCTTAAGCTGATGCAACTAGAACAGCAAACCTATAGTCCATGACCTCATCTACTTTCAGTCACTCAGAATTATGAGGTAACTGGAATGCACCATCAGAGCTTCAGCACCTGGATTTTCAAGTTGTGTGCTGCTACTTTCTGGAGAAAAGCTGGCTGGCTATGGCTAACCTTACAATTTCTTTTATATTTCCATCCCATCTTCAAGATGTAGCCCATTATAAGGCGTGTAAAGGCTTTTAAATTGAGGACAAAGTGTGGCTTGTATAATTATTATTTAGCTGCTGAGCTACTTTATATTGGTACTGGAAACAGTTGACCTTGTTCTAACAGATATGTCTTGTTTTATTTGTTCAGTGGGGTTTATGTGAACACCTGAAGCTATTTTAACGAGTCTGTTCTGTCTGAGGCGGTTTAGTAAGAAGAATAAAAAGTGTGTTCTTGAGAAATGTCTTTTTATCTAATGTCTGACATCTGAGGTGTTCTTTCTGAGGTCTTACACATGTATTCTTGAGACCCGAGGATGTCCTAAAATGCACACTGTATAACCGTCCAGAAGGACAATGATCTTGGCAATCCACCAATCAGGCCTGGATGGTAGCATGGTCAGACAGAAGCCACTTCACAGTAAAAGGCTCGTATCAGCGATCCACTTTGAGTTGCTTGAGATAATGGGCTGCACCGCAATGCATGCTACTGGTGCAAATGGCTGAATTAAAAAAATGCACTAGTGTGTTCTGTCCCATATCAGCCTAGCCAAAAATGTTATAGTAAACTCTTGACTCAAAATAAAAATTAAATCAAGTTGACAATGATTGTGAAATGCAAATACCTGCTGGAAGCGAATCTATGTCGATGAGACGGTTAGCTGCGTCTTCTTTTCTGGCCATGCGGATGATCTTTCGGGAGAACACGTGGCTCCACCTTGCAGTTAATTTCTCTGAGGAGTCTGGGTGTAGCACAGAGAAGTCCTGAGAAATCTTACAATGGGGGGGGGGGGGGGGGGGGGGTAAGAGACATATTGTTAAACACAAAAACTGATTTGTGAAATTTACTGTATAAGAAAGCTCACCATGCCTGGAGTGTCAACCAAACGTGGAAACTCGGCCATTATTTCTCTGATTGACATTGTCCCATTGCTTCTAATCCACTGGGCTCGTTGGATAGCGGTCTCCAGCATATACTGGGAAACTTGTGATGGTGGCCAGATATTGTTTTTCAGCCATTCTGTCATCTGGATGGCTCGCTCTGGAGATACAGTAGGTTCTGTTGTAGATTAAAAAAGAAAAAAACATTCTGAATAGTGATGACTGATCATGACCTTTACAATTTAAAAATATGTCAGAATTGTTTCATTTCAGCAAATGCCCTAGAGAAAGAGTGCAACCATTAAGTAGACTGTAATGGCGCTTTTACACTTGGGCCAGCTTGTCCCGCTCCACTCCAGCCGGGTTGTGTTCACATGTTGCCGGTGAGGAATTGGGCCATGAGCGGAGCCAGCAGGTGGCGGGAAAGAATGCAGGTAAACAAAGGCAGGAGCAGCATTGGGGAGAGCGGGGGATATCTCGGAAGGAAACAACGCAGAGGAGGTCGCAATTTATTTGTACGTTGTGCGTGGACTGGCTCTTTTTAAAGAAAAAATCTCCTTGTTTGACATGTGAGGAGACGTCGTTCTGGTAGAGAATCACTGGAAGCCGCTCAGCAGAGCTGGGAGAAGGCAGACAGCACATCGGGTGAGCGCCGGTTACAGTTTCCAGCTGCAATGTGTTTAAATCAGTTAGAAAGAGCGAGAGTGACATCACTATGCAGGGCTTATCAGTTCATAGGTGGGCGTGTTGGCCAGAGTGGAACCAAGGTTTCCTCGGTCCGAAAATGGTGTCCGTTCCGCGCAGCTCTACTCGAGAAAAAGAGTGTGAACGCTCTGAGCGGGGCCGTATCATGCGGAGCCGACGCCAGTGTAAAAGCGCTATAAGATTAAGGCAAGTTGGCTTTACCAGGCAAAACAATCTGGCATTTTTGTGGCGCTTGAGGTGTTGACTAAAGCCGGGCGTACACTGTGCGACTTTTTCACTCGCAGCGTTCAGCTTCAGCTCAAACTGTACGACTTCCTCGCAGAGCAGATCTCACGAGTCATGTGCTCACACTGCACGACCCAGTTCTCGCATGCGACCTGACTGCTCACACTGTACGTCTGGTAGCAACACGTCGGCCCTAAAAATGTGCTAAAAATAGCCGTTTTTACTCAACACGTCAGACTTTTTTGTCTTGCCTGTTGTCCTTCGGGAGTGCTGCAGGACACACAGGGATTTATGGGGGTTGGATGAGGAAAACGAAATAAAGAAAGTGAATCTGCGTTTTGTGATCAGTTTAATTTCACACGAACACGACAAACACGCTTTCTTGACAATCTTTGTGAGTAAAAAAAAACGTGTAGAAACAAAAACGAACAGCGTGTGTTATTAGGGAAATAGCGGGCGACCGGCGTTGATGCAGGATTGCGTGCGCATGCGCCGTGAGCGGTTCTGATACTTTTTGGGTCGCAGCTGCTCGCAGCGCCGCTTCAACAGTGCGATACCCTCACGAGGGACGAGCGAAATATTAAACACACCAGAAGTCCCTGCGACCTCACGACTGCTGATCGGCGGCTGGTCACGTGGTGTTAATCGCCTCTCGTAACCCCCTGTACACTACACGACGCTCGGCGCAAAACTCGCCCCGATGTCGTGGATTCTCGCACGACTGGAAAATCGGCTCAAAAAAGTGAAAAAGTCGCACAGTGTACGCCCGGCTTTATTCTGGGTGTCGCAGCGTGACCTCTTTCGCACATTGCGGAGACATTCCTCTAGGAATCCTGTTGCAGGTCTATGTTTCCTTCCTGGGGTGAACCACGCATCCTAAAGTAAAAACAAAAACACATACACAACAGGAAAGAATACAAAAATAGCAAATTAGAAAATAAGAAAACCAGCACAAGCCTTTGAATGAGGTAGTGGATTCACTTGAAATTTACAATTTATTTATTGGGAGTATCCACTCTGAGGTTTGTGTTTTAATTATATGTTGGTCACACAGTGATAGGCAAGTCAAATTCGTCTGTAAAGCACACTTTCAGTGATAAGGCAATTCAAGCTGCTTTTGAAGACCTGCGATATTCTATAACAGTGCTTAATATTGCGATATTGATATTACTCACGATAAATGAACAAATACTAAAATATGCAGTGTTGATGTCGTCTGGCGTGTGACGTCTTCTCTGGGTTCAAAGCAAACAAAAACTAATGCATGAATTCCATTACAACATAACATTTTTATAGCAAAAACATGCAGCTGCACCTGCTACTGTATTAGTAGCAAAACAACAAACTGCATGCATGCAGTTTCTCAGTGACTTTAAAACATCACCTCCACCATAAAACTTTTTCTGATTCTCCAAATACAGAAAAACATCCCTTACCAGGGTTTTTAGAATAAATACTTTAAATGTTAAATAATAGTTAACATCACTTAAATGCAACAGCAAATTCTCTCATTGCTACTGAACATTTTCTCCACTTATGTGGTTAAGATATAAGGATGTTGCTGTAATTGGAAAGTGAACTGTGCTGGGCCAAACTAGGAGAATATTAAGATTTTCTGAGGGAAAGAGAAAAACAATCGTCTACCTTTCAGAAGAGGAACTGGCAAAAAAACTACATGGAAAATATGTGAAAACGTTTGTTTTTAACCCCAAATTGAACAAGTTTACCTAGATCTTAAAAAGCAGCTCAGATGATGAAACTGCAACTATGATTCTGATAACAAGCTAACTAATTGAACTAGCTCCTCTAAGATAACTGGCTAGCAGAGCTTCTGACTGACAGTTTATGTGCAGCAGCAAATCAACTATCCTGATTAACAAGGTTATAAAAGCTCATAAATGAAAAATCACTTTGATGTGTGGGGGAACTTTTCCAGGCCCTCTTTAGCAGGGTGGGACTGGGAGGAGAGTGCTGTAGCCTTTTAGCTGGAAGCTAACCGGAGCCACCACCCGGTGGAACACTAGCGACATGAAGGTGGGTTGGTTCACCGGCACGTGTCGGAGTCAGCCCGGTAAAAATGATTACGACACCGAGCGGACTCACGTTCACGTTTGAAAGCAGCGCTGATTCCAGAAACCTCAGCACAAAGTGTGTTCGGTGCTCTGAGCCAGAATGACGAACAAGGGAACGGCGCTGCAAACTATGTTCAGCTGTTGCTTTCCAAAAGAGTCTATGTAGGGGGCGGGCGTATTACGTGAACGGACCCATCTGATTGGTCGCATATCAGAAGGACTACATTTGATTGGTCAAATAATACTTCTGCGTAAAAAACAGAGCTGGTTTACAAAAAGCTGATGTATGACACGGATGGAAATGTTTGAACCAAACATTTATCGCTGTTTTTGCCGTGTTTTGCGATGGGCCTATCACACGTCCTGTTATCGCGATGACGATAATTTTTCGATATATTGTGCAGCCCTAATAGATATTAATATAGATGATGGTAGGACAGTTTGCTGACTTTTATGAGAGTTTTAAATGTCCTTTATTTTTGATAACATAATAATGTCATATGAAACGTTACTTACATAGCCTGTGCCAAGACTGTCCTTTAGACATGGAAACTGCTCCACTACTGATGATGCCAGCAATGCCTTTGATTCCGAGGGTGGACTTCAAAAGAAAATTGACATGTTACTTTATTATACACCCAAAACAAAAGATACTTTTGTACACTTATTATGAAACAGCTTTTTTATTGTTTTCAATCATATTTTGAAAACCATAATTTGTGATTCAACACTCCAAATCCTTTGGAAGAGATGGCCATGGTTTAAAAATCTACATTTGTTCACCAACTTTAAATAACATAAAAAAGAGAAGTCTATTATAAGTTTGAAAAGATGCTCACTTCTCTCCAAAGCACTCAATCAGGTGGGACACAAGTATCCTGACCATGGATCTTCTCTCACTTATAGAAATGTGATGGCTTTCTTCAAGGCTGTGAACTATTGCTCTTCCATCAGGTGTTTTGTTGAGTATCTCACGGATATTCTAATAATATGTGAACAGAGAAAAAGGGTCTAATTAAATCTGCAAAGAAACCTAAACCTTCAATACATCACTGGGAAAGGTTAGAGGGATTTTCTGGAGGGAATGATAAGAATCCATTATTACTTCTGCATGGATAGTAAGACTTACAAATGATGTTCCACCCTGGACAGGAGCCACGTGCTGCAATTTGTCAGCTGGTGCACAAACAGACTCCGTTTGTTTAGGGCTTGAATCCTGGTTAAAAAAAGCAGGGGAAGACCCTACATAACTACAAAAAAATTGATAAAGCATCTATAATTCTGATTGTAGTTTTAGTTACATGGTTCAAATCATAAAAACAATTATGGTATATTTGTCAAAAACACTCAGGTATATACTTACAAAAGTGATGATGATAAAGCTGATATGCAGCTCCACAGTTATATTGATTTTAATCAAATATTTTAATGATTTGAATGTATTTACATTTATTTGTCACAAAAATGAGGTAGTACCAGGTCAAAGCTCAAGACAGTACTTAAAACCCTTTGGGTTTAAAATAGCCTGTACCTCAGTGAAATGTAGAAGTCACTGCAATTCTCCTTGTAGGATTTCACAGCATGGAGAGGGTGATAGTCAGCAATGGAATCAATGTCCACTGCTTCAATCGCTGAGGTAGGGGAAACATTGAAGGCAAAAAAAATGCCTTTCAAAGCCGATTGTTTCCCACTTTTTTAAAATGAGCTTAGTATTCGAACGAAGTACCACAATGCTCTGAATAGTTCCAAACTGAGGCTCGCAGTCATCTGTATGAGACATAAATAATGTCATTCCTGTCCTGTAGCTAGTGCCCTTGTACTTAATCCAAGAAGGCAGATAAACGTCTGTAATAACAGCAACTCCTTCAAACCCAGATTTGACCTTCTCAAAATCCTCTATTGTACCAAGGAGTTTGGTATATCCTGGCCCAACTTCAAACTCATGGCAAAACATCTGGCCTGACAGGAGAGTGTAACACATCATTATTTGATGTCTGTAGGCTTGGGTTTTACAGATATTTCGAAAGTTGCAGGTAACATGACTCACTCTTTTGAAAAACCCATGTTTTGCCTCAAAGCGCATTGACCAGAAGTGAACAACAGGCCCAAGTTTCCGTATGGCTCTGGGATAGTGAAGCATGAAGTGGTGTTTGGGTTTTAGATGTCTGTCTGGGAAGAGCTCTAAATAAAGACAATGGTGCTTCTCAATGATGTGCCCCAAAAAGACTACTGCTCCTTCTGTTAATGAAGGAGAAAAAATAAACTCCATGCAGCTCAACAATAAAAGAAGCAACTCCCAATATTTGTTGTCCTCTGGAATCAAATCCCCTATCATGAGGGGAAGCAGTCTTAGCAGACACCATGTTTGTGAAGCAGATTGCCTAAGTCCAGTATCAGGATTTTTCAAGTCCTGAGGTTTGATGGTTGATGGCTTGTTGTGGACATCACAAAATCCATAGTCAAAGCTTGTCAACCTGTAGTTCAGCTGATCAAGAGTGACAATTTTTTGTTCAATCAATGCATTGAGCACAAGCTTAATTTCATAACCACCAATCCCTTCGAGGATATCATGCATGACATCAGGAGCAACATTGTCAGTCACATGGTAGAACTGCAACTTGTTAAGAGAGCACTCTCTCTTGATGCCAGTTTCAGCTGGTTTGTGTAGAAGCAAGTCTGAGTGGTAGTTAACCTTGTCACGTATTGATGAAGGAGCTTCAACTGTCTGTACCCTCAACACTTCCTTGTGAACTCGACACCACCGACACACGCTATTGCCTGCAAAGCTTTCTGTGTAACCAAGTATTCCATTAAGTCCAAGGTTATCACCACAGACCTGTGCCACTCCAGCCTTAACAATGCCTGAAAAACGTGTGGTTTCAACATGAAAGCCATTCAGTTCCATGTCTTTAATGTCATTCACAATTGGCTCTAAAATTGTGTTCATTCCATATGTTTTTACATCATCAGCTTTGTACACTGCCAACAAGAAGTGAGACTTTAAACTAGACATGTATTCCTGTGGCAAGCATTTCATTGTGAAATAGATAAAACCAAGTTTGTGGACTGATGTTTTTGCGCCAAGTGGATTCACCATCTCACACTCATCACTGTAAAGAACCAATGGAATAGAGAAATCTTTAGAGAAAAGTGGATTAGTTTCAAATATTGTGCCATCTCTGAAATCCTCTAAGGCAGCATTTTCAAGATTTTGCCATTCAAAGATCTTATCTATTGTTCCTGGACTTTCCAGAACAAGCTTCAACATGGGTTTCAAGGGAACATACTGGAAAGTGTCCCGAACTGCAACTTGTTTCACATTTCCTGACTCTCGATCAATTTCTTGTGTAAAGGAAAAGCCAGGGAGTGGTACTGCCTCTGGCTGTATGAAGAACCCAGACTGAGTAAAATATTTCATTTGCTTGTACTCTGATTCAAATCCTTGAAATGGTTCAGCTGCTTTGGTGAACTGCTCCATGAGGTCCTCTGCTTGTGGAGTCTCAGAGTGACCGATCTCTCTTAAAAAAGAGAGTGTTTTTCTCTTTAAGCAACCAACTACATCTCTGATAAGACCTGATGTGTTTTCAACTACATCTCTAATCCCACTGAATGTCTGAGAGGATGTTGCCTTTAACCTAGCTAAGAAGAGTGCAACTCTGTCCTTTATGTTGTCTTCCTCTAGCTCATCCCAATGTTCTGCTGTAGTCTCACAGCATTCCACCTCATTTAGCACACTTAAATGAGGATCTACTGAACTGTCAGGAAGTTCACCTGTGCTACTTTCTTCTGTTTCAATGTCAAACTCAATAGCATGCCCAATTATGTGTCGTCTGAATGATCTTATTTGATCAAAAGTGCGATGGCACCCAACTTGAGCACACTGGAAATAAGTCGAAGTAGAAAGTATATGATGCACCACTCTGAGATGGTTAAAAAAAGCTCTTATGTTATGACCTAAAGACCTATGACATTTAAAGCACACGTACCCCATTCTGTTTTGACCTCTGACACTGGTCATACCTCAAGTAATCTTTTTAAATTATTCTGAATTTTCAGGCGTGGACCCAGGAGAGGTATCAAAGTCGTCAAGCTGTTCGCATCCAAGAGGAAAAGGCTGTCTTTGTCAATCTTTTCAGCTGAAAAAAAGAAGGAAATTTGGATCACTGATCAATAAAACAACAAGCCACACACAGATGTAGGCCTGGGCAATAAAACAGTAACCATATGTACCGCAATGTAACTTTTTCTCAGTAGTAAAATGAGACTCGCAATATAGTTTGTCCATCTTTTTTTTCATAGCCAACTGAATTACACTATTAAAATAAACTATACCAGGACAGATTGGGAGAATTTGCTTTTAGTTTTTAGCTTATTCATTTGATATTGACAAAACGTTCGACAATTTATTCTCCTGTAAAACTTATTGTATCCTGAGATTTATTTTTAGTCAATATTTTGTTTCTAAGTGGAATTGACCAAGCAGTTAGGTCATTTTTTGTTCTCTTTTGAAACTTGAAAGCTTTAGTCCTGACTTTAGTTTATAATATTATGAACCTTTATTATTTTAGTCACCTGAAACAGATGTTATGTTCTCTCAGTACGACTGTCATGTTGAACCTTTGACAGGAAACTAATATTTAAATATAAAAGCAGCTTCTGATGATTTCACATTTAACTTTTAAGTAACAGCCCATTTAAATTTTACACAGAGTTTTTTGACTTATATTCCAATCTAATCCAATCCAATTTTATTTATAAAGCGCATTCAACATGGCATTACAACCAAATAAGGCGCTGTACACCAAAAATATATATTGTAATATATATATATATATATATATATATATATATATATATATATATATATATATATATATATATATATATATCGACATTGACAGAAAGGAAAAAGATGTATCGTGATATGAAAAATCTTATATCGCCCAGCTTTACACAGATGTAAATATGAGTACTGGTAGTTACAGTTTTTTACTTTAATTACAGAAATACATTTACTTTATCATACCTTCAAAAGCAGGGATGTATTCAGAGAGGTTCCATTCCAGAAGTTTGTCCTTCACAAATTCATCCATCTTTTAGAAAAAAACAGAAATCACATTTGGTTGCTGTATTTTTTTAACAGTTAATCACCAATATTACTTGCAGTTAATTAACAATTGAAGTTTACAAAGGATTATACAACAAAGCAGAAGCAGTATTTATCAACAATTAACACTTGAACTGTGCATTTAACGTCATCTGTTTGGTAAGATGCTGCTAAATCAGTAGCCAGTGAGCTCACATGTCCGTTCCCTGTTTCAATCTGTTGTGTCCTACAAGCTTATTATTTTATAATGTCCCAAACACTTGCTGAAATTAATTGTTTTCATCTGGTAATATTGCCCACAACACTGGAGAGGAAATCTTCCGCGCTGTTCACAGCCATGCTGCTACTGTTAAACGCTAACAAAATAAAACGTATGCAAGTAAGGAGTAGCATAGATCATCTTTGGGCAGATTATCAAAAATAGAGCGCGTCCAGATCGTTTCAAAAGCTAACACATTATCTCAAGGATTCTGAGGATTGGATGACAATCCTCAGAACTTCCTGACAGTTTTGTGGGAATATCTACAGTTATAAATTAACATCCAACTTTGTTTTGGTACACATCTACATATATTCAAGCTTTAACATACCTTGAGTGAAATAAACCGGGCATTATCATGAAACTCTGGCTCCCATGATTCGGATGGATTATCAAGCAGTTTACCTTTGGCGTGCTTCATCAGCTGGAACCTATTAACTTTCACGTTAATGTCCGCCCGTTTATTTGTGCGCTGCTGCACACGACTCTGACTGACACTGATTATATTTTATTTCACCGCTATGTAGCGCGAGCTGTTGTCAACTGAAAGCAGTAGCAGTTTGCGCGTTGCGCCGCCATTTGTTTGCTCCCCACCCCAGGGACAGGGGTTGTGGAGTTGGCGCGCGTGCCGTTATGTAACATGCATATGAACCTGTGAACGTAATCTGCCCGGCAACAGTTACAGTAGCGGGAAAGCTGCGCGCAACCACTTAGATAAGCTATTATTCTCCTGTAGCACTATGCCTATTGGTCTCCTGTCTCATTTCCCCACAGAAATGTATAGTAGAATTGGTACTACCAAAGAAGTAGTGCTGAGCTACACAAGTAGCGGGAGGTATTGCACAGACCGCAGCATAAAGAGCCCCTGCTGCTAGTGGGGATGCTATGCATAGTAAGCCTAACTTCCTGAGCCTCATCATGTCTAACAAACAAAGGGAGGGTGGACAAATGGTAAAACACTGTCTGGAGCAGATAGTTGTGTCACAGATTTTCTGTTCCATTATATCTAATGAAGTAGATTGATGCTAGGAAGCTATAGCTAGCTAGCTACTCGAAGCTATATTCGGTTGAAAATCTCTTGTAGGCTTAAAATCTCTTTGTTTACTGCATTACCTGCCTTCAACTGCTTTACCAGAACACATTTTCAAACTCCATCATCAACATCTTACCTTATTTTTAAACATTGCTGGTGTGAAGGTCCATGGAAATGAGGCAAGTCCTTGTCATCCTCCACTTTAAAATGGTGAAGCTGGCACAGACGAGGGGGAGGATCTTTCTTTTTACCGCCCCTTTTAACCCAACATGCTGGGTCAAAATGTTTGACCCAATGTTGTATTAAATTGACCCAACTGCTTAAAAATCAGCCTTAACCCAGCAGTTGGGTTAGCAAAATAACCCAGCATTTTTAAGAGTGTAGTTTAATTACAGTTTGATTTATTTGACATCTGTATAATGTTTATTATTTTGTTTTTCCCCCTAAATACCTAACGTTTGAGTTTAACATGAATATCAGTCATTCATCCCAATACATGAAGTTACACATTTTAAATTTTAATAGGGGAAGACTGCAGGAGGGAGCGGTAAAATCATAGACTGTACATACTTGCTACCCGCCGGCTGTGATCACAAGCGACAACATATTAGTTCCCGCTGCTTCTTCGGTAAACAGCGCAAACAAAAACAAAGAAACTTGGGATCTTGTCGGCGTGGCGGTGGGATTTAAGGGAAACGCTGTATGCCCTATAGACTTCTCACCGAGCTGCAGTATTTCTCCGGTCAGATCTGTCTCTGAGAGCTCCAAGAGCGGTCAGCCCGCGCAGAAACTAGCCGCCGCACAGGTCAGGCTGCCTGGCCTGACCGCTGGGGATTACCGGATGGAAGAATGGACACAGGTGTCACTCCAAGCCTGCTGGAGATTTTAAGGGTTCAGATGAAAACACCCTACCACTCAGGCTGCTTACACATCGATATTAAGTTGTCGCTGTTGCGCTCACGCCGTAATACAGTATTAGATGCGGTTAAAGTCAGACATGAAAAACTCCACGAGCGGTCAGACCGCGCAGCAGCTAGGCGCAGCAAGTAGGCGCCGGATCGTCCAGGCTGCCCGGCCTGACCGCTGGGGATTACCGGGTGGAAGAATGGACACAGAAGTCTCCCTCTTTGCGCTCCGTCATATTTCAACCCATTTTGATCTTTTACCATATTACCCATCTAAATATGCCCTATTAATTATTTTACCGTATTTTACATTTAAATTTCATGGTTAAACAGTACATGCTACATGTTAAACTGATAGTTAGCTAGCTACTTCGGTAAACTCAGCTAGTTTAAAGGTGGCAGTGACATAAAATACGAATATAGATTTTAACTTACCGAAAAAAATGAAGTGGAGACTCCTTGGACGCTCTATTAGTGCAATTAATACCACAGCAAGTCATTTTGTCCAACAATTGCACCAATAATATCCAAAACAGAATTCACAAGCACAGAGACTCAAAATCCCGAAACAGCTTCCAGGAGGGGCCGAGGCTGTACTGAGGCCTTTCCACGGAGCTAGCTCTGTGGTCACGTGGGTCTGAGGCGGCGGTCACGTGTGTCGGATGCTCATTAATTATACAGAATTTTAGGCTTTCAATACACTTAAACAGAAGAGTGAGAAAAAAATTCACCCCCCTCAGAGTTGTCATGAGTATAAACTAGCTAATTTAGACAAAAAACATGTTTTGGCACCAGGCTGTAAACATGTTTATTTCTGCTGTGAAATCGGCATTTTTAACATGGGAGTCAAAGAGGATTTGCTCGCTTCTGGCACCAGCCCCCAGCGGATGAGGGTGGAACTGCAATTTTTCTTACTTCCGGGATGGGACCATTTTTAGAGCGGCATTGTGGGGGCTCTCAATTCAGGGTCTGCATCCTTCGAAGGACGCAGCCCACTCGGCCGACGCGGGCTGCGTCCTCCGTCGGCCGGGTAGACCGGATGTTAACGGCTGTGAATTTGGACAGGCCTAGCCTTCATGAACTCCCTCCGCGAACGTTCCGTCGCCTAGCAACCGTGGAACCGCTGGGCAGAAGGGAGAAGGAACTTTAAACGATGGAGCTTGACGTTTTATTTAGCTTTTTAACCCCCAGAGACCCAAATTTAGAAAACAACTGCAAAATCTTTATTTAACCTTTCACATGTTGTTCTAGGCCAGATAAACGGGCCTATTTACACATTTTAACAGTCAATAGTGTTGCAGAACTGAACAATAGGACCTATTAGCAATGTAAATGTAGTTTTAAAAAGAAAAAATGGGGAAGGTTTATTCTTGTAGACTTAAATCTGATGTTGTAATGTTACAACCGTGGGTCTCTGGGGGTTAATCATTTCCTTGACTGTTGGAGAACTAATTCAGAGAAAATACTTTAGACAAGCTGAGCCTGAGCAAAGATGTGATAATAGTTTTTAATACTTTCTAAGGGTCTTAATTTGACCAAAACCCATTTATCAACTTTTAAGACTTTAAGACCCAGCGGATACCCTGTAATATTGAACAATTCTCATTTGTAAACAAAAATAAAATTCAAGAGTTTAATGCAGAACTGATTTTATTTAGATATTTCTTTTATATGTACATGTTTAATCTTTATTAACCATTTTTTTCTAGCAAAGTAAAAAGCTGTCAAAGTTATTCCTTCTCTCCTGGGCCCTCTGCCTCCCTCTGCAGCCTCATGTTCTCCCTGATCAGATCCAGAAGCTGGTCATCGCTGGCACCTTCCCCTGGATGCCCATTTTCTCCAGAATAGTCTTAACAAACATGTAAGAAAAGAAACAGGAAGAGAAAAGAGGACAACGGGTTATTCCTTTCATGTTTTCGCAGAAAAAATAAACTCAAACGAGTTTTTAAAATATGAGATGTTATTGTACCTCCATGCCACAGCCGCCGAATACTTTGCTCCGGTGATCATGTGGTCCATCTCCGCCCTAAGCTTAATAAATTCCCTGGTTTTCTCTTTTGTTCCTAAAATACAAACTTCTATTAAAATCAGGGGGAAAACGTAGCGGGAGAAATACGACACCGAGCGCGGCCGAACATACGAGCCGAGACCGCAATACAAGCACTTTTACTGTAACATTTCTAACTAAAATAACGTTCATGTATCACAAAAAGTCATTAACCTAACAGTTTTCAAGTTTATACTGACATTTATATGCGCAATCCTCTCCGACAGCTCCCGCTTCACTGTCCGCCATTGTTTTTAAGTTTTTCTGCTGGCCGGCCCGCAAGGCATCTTGGGAAATGCTACCTGTTGAAGGATACACCGGACCCATCCTTCATTCAGGCGAAAAGAAGGCCGCATTCGTCGACCGCATTTGAAGGAGTCGTCGAATTGGGACAGGCCTAGTCGCGGCGCTGTGACGTAACCGGCTGACGAATCCGGCCGACGTAGGATGCAGACCCTGAATTGAGACACAGCCACTAAGCTAATCAGGCAGCATCACGTGGGTCTTCAGCGTTTGTGAGATCATACAGGTGACTCCAATTCCTTTACAAACCTTAAGGAATCACGTGGTAATCTCAGATTGTTTCATGGATTTTTTTACCTTAAACAACGGAATGACTGCTGGTTCCATGTACACGTTACTATAGAGCATTATTACCTTGTAGATTATTAGAATAAACAAAATTAATTTTGCTTTTTTAATTAGATCTTATAACTTCCTCGTGAGCATAAAGTGGGTGTAAAAATTAAAGTGGGTTGTTTAGGCTAATAAAATGTGCATTTGTTTATTCAACATAAGCCTGACAAAGCAGGTATGAAAATGTCAGTTATTGTTATTTTAATTATTCAGATTTTGTTAACAAGTCCCTTGGTCAGACATTTATTTACTGTAGAGTTTACTACTGATAACCTCAAATAGGCCCGGAGTGGCTAATCGGGGTCTGGACCGCAAGGCGCGGTGTTGTTTTTGTTTGTTTGTGTGTTTGTTTGTTTGTTTGTTTTGGACCGGTGCTCAGTCGTCATGCCACTGGGCTGATCCCTAAGACTGCCTACCTGCTGAAAGGGCCTCTCATGTCAGGTACAAAAACAAAAACATATTTTTTATAACTCGTCAGTTCTTGTCTTCTTCTCTTTTTCTGTTGGGGTTAGGGTTCAGTCATGGCTTTGATCAGACCGCGCTGTCCCCGGGCCGCCTCTGCCTTTTTTCTGCAGGCGCTTCCAGACGGAACACTTCAGGTGACTCTGGGTGGGAGAAGCAGGACTCAGGAGGAAAACTCTAGAAACAGACGCCACTAAATGTGCAAAATGGGCATTTTTCACTAAAACATGCTATTTCCGGAGTCAGCAGCAAGACCCAGCAGCATCAGCAGGTAGGATCACTCACTCACTGAGGGAATATTATGAGAATGAATAATGGAAAGGATTACAAAGACCTGCTCTATTAAAGAGGTCCAGATGTTGGCTCTGTCCGGTTCGGTCCGGACCTCACGGTAAAGCCAGGGGGGCAGACTCTCCCACCAGATCCACGGTGCAATTCAACCTGACAACAGTTATCTTTATTTTCATTTACATGAATGATCATGAGGAATCATCTGGACAAATGTGAAAGAAAAAAATCTGTAGAGAAGGAAAATGGAAAGTGTAGGAGAAAACGAGGATGTACTTCTTTAGTAAATGTTCACTGATGAGTTTTCGTGTTTGGGAAATTACAAGTGAGGTCAATCACAAGTTGTGTTTTCATAAAATAGTGTTTCCATCTGAAAATAAGTCAGGGTTTTATTTTAACTTTATTTCTCAGTGTTGCAGCTGGATGCTCTTCTGCGCACCTCTAACAGGTTACCAGACATTTGAGATTATTTTCTAGTTATTCAATTAAATTATAATTGTATAATGAATATTTTTCTAAAGCAAAGTTTTAATAAGTTATTAAATCAGACACATCAATGCCATAGACACAATCTCTGTCACACCGCTGCATCTTTCGGATCATTACTTCATCCATTTCAGCACGACTCTACAAGGGAGGTCCACTGCTTCCTCCCCAATGGTCTCATTCCGCCGCAACCTCCGCAATCTGGCACCCAACTACTTCTCCTCTCTTGTTGCCTCCACTCTTCCATCTCCCAGCACATTCTCTGCTTATGAAGTGAATGAAGCCACCTAGTCACTCTGCTCCACACTCTGCTCTTGTCTTAACAACTTGTGCCCTTTAGCCACTAGACCTGCTAGATCCTCTCAGTCGCACTCTTGGCTAAATGATACCCTCCGGTCTCTACGCACCAATCTTAGAGCTGCGGAACGGAAATGGCGCAAAACAAAAGATCCTGGTCATCAACTGAAATTTCAGGAATTACTGTCCTCATTCTCTGCCAGCATCACTGATGCAAAGAAAGCTTTCTACACTGACAAAATTCTCAGCTCTATTGACTCAGAAACTTTTTTCAACATTCAAAACTCTGCTCAACCCTCCATCTCCACCTCC